AGGGGGCGGCAGTGGCGGCGTCGAGCCCGCCGTGGACTTCTACGGGCGCACCTCGCCTGGCCAGTTCGGAGCGCTGGCGCCCTGCTACAACCCCGGTGGGCAGCTCGGAGGGGGCAGTGCAGGTGCCTACCATGCGCGCCACGTGGCCGCCTATCCGGGCGGGGTGGATCGTTTCGTGTCCGCCATGTGAGCCCAGCATACGGTCGAAAACTCATAGATGCCTCGGCTGTTTACATGAACTAAGTATCCCCAAGACCCGAGGACAGGACTGGAGAGAGGGCCGAACGGAGAGCTGCACAGAAGGGACGGCGGACGGGAGCGCCGCGGCCGCCGAGCGCAGCGCGTGCACCTGGCTCACTTTGTCAGTGGCAGTGGGGAGAGGCAGCCTCAGCCCACTGACTGGGACAAAGGACCCTCAGTCCGGGGAAGCTCCTAAAGACATGCCTTTCAGGGGCGCGGCGTAGTGTCTACACCAGACTCTAGGATCCGAATCGTGGGAAATCACATGACTTCACTCTTCCCTGTACTTCGGGAAATGGGCCTTTTTACAGGGGTTTCGCCTCTTGTGCCTTTAACTATGTTACTGCAATAAAAGGCTCCAATAGCGTCTTCCTGCTTAAGGTGAGGAAGACAAGTTTGCAAAAGAAGTCGGTTTTTGTTGTTTCCTTTTGTTTTTCAGTTGGAGAAATCGCTCTGCTTCGCTTGGCCTAGGGCTGGTTTTCCCTGCCTCAGAACAGGAGAGCCGGCTGCGTCTGGACTGTGCCTCAGCCCCACAGTATGACTCAGTCCTGTCACCCATACCCCGGTCTCCCCATCTGTTGTACAAGAGGGCTGCAGGATTCATATGATCTTTAAGGGCCCTATCACGGTGGATGCTGCCCTGCATATTTGGCAGCATCCATGGGCCACCCAGGGCCTAAACTAACCCTATTCCAGGGAATCAGAACAGAGTTCATGGCAAGCGTCTAATCTAAAGTCTCTGGATTAGCTCCAGGCAGTGATTAGATCATAATTTCTTGAATCTTTTGAGCATGATGTGCTGATCATTTGGCAGCTGTTTCATCTGGGTCCTAAACCTGATTTTCCAATGAGGCAGGTAGAAATACATCTGTCCATTGTCCGCTCTTTCTTTTCATCAAGCAGCCCTGGACTCAGTGGATGAACTGAAGTTCAGAGATGACAAGGATTCAGGGGAGCCCACTGGTGACAGCTTTCAGTTTATGGGGTTGGCTGCTCAATCCCTAGCACCCTCTGCCATACCTCAGCAGTCTCTGCCGGGCAAAAAGGAAGGTGAAAAATTGAGGTGGTCGGTGAAGTAAGCTTTAGAAAGAAGCTGGACTTTTTGTTTTGTATCCGTTTGTTTGTTTTGAGCAGCAAGCTAACCAAAGGCAGAAAATCCAACAACTTTCCCACCCTTCTCTTGAGAAATCTTGTAAATTTCTATTCTGGAGTAAAATGTCCAGCGTTAAATATTTCAGCAGCTCAGGCACAGCTTTCAGATAAACCTGAGTGTTCAGAGGAACTGTTTTAATAAAAATCTTCAAGCAAGTGAGTTCTGGCAAGAGAAACTCAGCCTCTTCCTGCATAACTTGCTAAGGAAGGGTTCGGGAGGGATGTAAGAAAGAAGACTGAAAAACACTGGTACTTTTTATTTTTTATTTTGGGGATTGTGTTGTACTCTTCACAGATTTGTGAATGTGCTTCAGTCCAGGCGGGTATCTGTCTAATTCAGTGTTGTCCAATAGAAGTAGAATGCAAGCTACATGTGTAATTTAAATTTTTCTATTAGTCACATTAATAAAAAGGAACAAGATTAACTAATAATATTTTGTATTTAACCCAATATATCCAAATTATCGTTTCAACATATAATCAATATAAACATTATTGAGATGTTTTACGTTTTTCATACTAAGTCTCCAAAATCGGGAGTGTATTTTACACTTATAGCTCATCTAAATTTGGACTAGCCACATGCCCAGTGCTCGATGGCACTGTGTGACTGATGATACTGTACTGGATAGTATGGTCTAGATGGTGGTCTTTTTAACTTTGGTGGTGCTAAATGAGCACCTGGAGGCAGGAGGCAGCTGGAGCACTGACCCTTCTGCCAGTGGGTCCGGGTTCAAATCCTAACCTTGTGACCTTGGAAAAGTCTAGGTGTTGGGCGTCATCTGCATATGGACCCTTGCTGGCATGAAATTCAAAGATCCTCCATGCACAGCTAGACAGTTAGGCTCTCCCAGGCAGAAGTCAGGATGCCTTGCCGAGTTGGAAGCCCTGAAATTGAGAGTCCTCCAGCCAAGGGTTTTGTCCTTGGCTGGTAACAGCCCAGCCAGGGGATTGGGGCTGGAAAATGATGGTATGTGTCTGGTTAGGACAGGAGTGTACCCTTTCTCTGTTGCTGTTTAATTACCAAGTCCAGTGCTTTCACAGCGCCAATAACCTTACACTAGTCCCCTCTCCTCTAGTGTCCTCACTTGTGAATGGGAATGTGTGACCCCCCACCTCACAGAGTCCTCCTAAAGTTAAGCAACACTGGAGCGGTGAAAAAACCTCTCTGTAAACTGTAAAGCACCGGGCACAGGAGGGAGGAAAGGCTTTAAAATAAAACAGTGCCACCTTACCCCAAGAGAGATGGGGTGGGAAAGCGCAGGTGTCTTCGCTCCCCACGCTCCTTGTCAACTAGGACTACAAGTGAGATTATGTCAAAAACGAGGGTCTGTCCCAGAAATAGGGGACGCAGCCAGGAAGGAACGTGGTGTGTACTGTGGGCGCGGGGAGAGACAAAGGGACCCTGGAGAGTTGGGATCAAGGTGTTGACAGAGCGTCAGCGGTCTTGGCCTCCCACCGCCTGGCAACACCCAAAGCTCGCGTGCCACCCAGGCAGGCCTGGCTAGAAAGGACGCTGCTGCACGGGAGAGCGAGGGTCCTCTCTGGCGTCTGCCACCCCGGGGGGTCTCGTGCAGACCCTCCAGTCCATGTGACTAGGATACTGAGAACATTTCACTGCAGTGTCTCGGAACATTCCAACTCCAAGAATCCCTAAACCGTGGAACAGTACCTCCCGGTTCCCCACCCGGGGACTCGGACGGGAGGCGCGTTTCTCTTTATTATTATTTTTTCTTCTTGTTATGAAGCCAGAAAAATCATTTGCCCCTCTCTGAGCCCTGCACCCCAGCGTCGTGTGGAGGCGCCCCCAGGCCCTGGATAATTAGATGCGTTCTTACCTAATTGCCCAAGGCTCGTTAGAATTCGCCCCAGAGCTGTAACATTTATTTTCTTTCAAATTAACTTTGCTTGCAATTAAGCTTAGGAAACCAGCAACAAAAGCAGAATTGGCCCGAGGTCGTTTACCACGAAAACGGATTAGGGCGCCTTCCTCCCGGGTTTAAGGGGAAAGAATCCGATGCAGACGGCAGAGGCGCAGGGAAGCGGACGCTGCTGGCAGCCGTTGATGGCGAAAGTGCCGGCCCTCCTCCCCATCTCGGCGATTCGTGTGCCCAGGAGAGTGAGGGTAACTTTGTTAAAATGAACTCGGGCGATTAGAACTGAACTAAACACCCATGACGTGAAGCAGCGGTGTGCCGTTACAGTTTACTCAGCACATTCATACATAATCTCATTTACTAAGAACCTTGTGAGAATTTTCTTTTATTAAAATTACTTCTCTTTTTAATACAAAATTGGCACGCATTCATTTATTTTAAAAAAATTTAGGAAGAAAGAAAGAAAAAAACATCAAAGGAACACATAGTTCACCCAGAGAAAGCACAGTAAACACCTCAGTGAGTACTTTTTCTAGTTTCTGTTTTTCCTGTGCAGGAGGCCTGAGCCGGAACTTTGTCATTGAAATGCTGTGAGATCTTTTTAATTTTTTTCCCAATCACAGTTGAAATGCTGTGAGAACTTGAACAAGTTTCTTCCTGTACTGGCGAGGCCCCGGGTCCCCTTTCACCCTCACATTCTCTAACTCCAATTTTCTTGGTCATTTGAACCCAGGATGCACTTTTCCAAGGGCCGGGGAGAGGCTTGGAGAGAGGCTTAGAGTTGAGGCGCGCCCTCCCAGCCACTTTATACAGAGACCGAGGCCCTGAGGCCTTGCAACTCTAAGTGTGGGCCATAGAGCAGCTGCAGGGACATCCCCTGGGAGCTGGCTAGAAATGCAGAGTCTCAGGCCCACCCCAGATTTACTGGACCAGAACCTGCATTTCAACAAGCCCCCCAGGTGATGCACATGCCCTAGGCAAAGAGGCAGAACTTTAGAGAAATGGGGGGAGGGGATGTGTTATGTTGTTGAAATCAGAGATCCAGAATAACTTCCAGGAGCCCCCTGTTTCTGACCCAGAACCTCAATACAGTGCTACCTTGTGGCGCTGTCTGCATAGAAGGGGGGGGGGGCCCAAGGCTGGGCTGGAGCACGTCACCTCCTGCCTTAGGTGTATTTTGTGAGTCTTGGAATCCAAGCCCTCAGAATGCATCTCACCTCTGTTCCCAGCCCTACAGTGACTATGACAATGACACTTGAGAGTATATTTGAAAGCATCTTGAAAACTGGGGTGCCAGTTAGAGCCAGGGCAGGAACCCAGGCCCCTGAGGCACTTTGGGGACCTTGTCTTGTGGTCTTTGTACCCTCCCTAAGCAGCAGTCATTTGCCCAAGCGTGGAATACACTTGGCCCTTAAGCATTCAGCTCCAGCCCCAAGTCTGCAGTCGTTGGGGGTTTAGGAGAAAAGTAAAGCTCTCTTCTCGGGACACAATAGCCAGCAAGAAGGGGCCCCATCTCCAAGTCCTTCTGGGGTGAGGGATCCTCTAGTAGAACATTTTAAGTGTCCCTTGGACAGTCCAAAATCCTGGGCACCTGAACCAGCCCTCCCCTTCCCCCAATGCACACACCTTTCTGGAGAATTTGGTTTCTGTGCTCATTCTGTTCCTGAGAAGTGCTGACTTCTGGGCGGGGGTTGGCATGACAGATAACTGGAGGGGGGGACAATGGAGGGCTGGAAATGTCCCGGATTAAAAACAGTTCAGACAAGGGATATGTACTATAAAGAATGGGGCCAGAGCCCAGATCAGGGAAGCATTTTTCCTAGAATTACATAGAAACTCCCCAGGAGACCAAGACTCTCACCTCAGTGCTTACATGAGTTCTCAACAATAGGAATAAATAGGAGCATCATGAGTGTGTGTG